ACACACACACACACACACACACACACACACACACACACACACACACACAAAAAAAAACCTTCCATAATTACATGTTGACCCACTGGGGGGCATAACTGTGTGAACCCCATTATTTTTCTCCATCATTTCACTCCTCATAAAAATCAGAGTTTCCATCAACACCAGCGAGGAAACTGGAACTTTTGCCATTTTCAGATCTGCACCGAACAACCCCAACGTAAAACTGCAGGGAGGTGAATTTGGGGAGTTGAGCGTGGAAAAAATAAAAAAACAATAAAAAAACGGAAGACGCCTGTATTGTGTTTCATACCTGATAACCCTCCATCCTCTGTCTCTCTGTCGTCCGACCTGCCAGACTCCGTTTCCTGGAATTTGGATTCCTGATGGGAGTGTGTGGGAAGAGAAGCACAAAAGGGATTCTGTCAGACACTGGAAGGTCATCTCTGGATAACAAACACATTTATCCAATGGACATGACCTCTTACATGTGAAAGAGTTCATGCCTTAAAAGGTTTGAGGGGAAAAAAAAACTGGAGCAGATATCACGAGGGTCTGGTTTTACACACATGTCATAGCTGCAAATCTCAAGGGGATAATGGATCATAATAATAAACAACTTTGATTTTAATGTAAAAATAAACTTTTAATTAACCGAATGCCAAAATGTAACTTTTGGATGCTTACATACACACTGTTAAAATATGTTTTAATAAAAAGATAAGTGTCTGTTATTGTTGTTGTACAATGCCGTGCAAAAGATTTCAGTAACTTGGGCTAAAGTTTCTTCTAAAAAGCCATACTGTATAACGTATAAATCAATGTATGAAAACACAACTAAATGCATTATGCACATGACTTCATAGCCATGTTGCTTGCGCTGCGTTTTTGAGGCTCAACACAGATTTTAAATTATTCAGAACTAAAATCTGTCTGGTTTTGGAGTAAAACCTTCACCTCTGAACATTTTAGGGGTTAGATCCAGATGGATTTTTAGGCGTAATTATCAACAATTCATTTTATTATTTATTCTGTAGTAAAATTGTTGATCTGTTCATGGTTTAGTTTCACTATGACCTTATCTACAGAAGAGGCGTACATACAGTGTGTCCTGCTTGTTGTTAGAACCACATGAACAACCTCACTGCGGTTCTTTTATGTTTTCTTTGTTTTATCAGCTTCATTTGTTTGCATCAATGCCGAGGGCAATGATAATATATATTTCTGGAATGGCAACGTTGTTGCAAGAAAGCTGCCGACGTACCCAAATTTCAAACCAACATCTTAATTCCCCTGACTTTTGAGTTTAGTAATCCTTTCTAAGAAGTGTTGATGATCATGTGTGAGACAGACAAACTTAGGCTAAAAGACAGATAAAACCTAAAAGCTCTAGTGGGAGCGTGAAGGATTTAGATCGAGGATGTGTCCCATAAACGCGTTCGGTTTAAAGGAAGGGTTGAAGAAAGAAAGCTGCGGGGGATTTATGATTCACTGATACGGACACAAACAAAGATAAAGCCTTCAGGCCCAGCAGATCAAAGCTATACGTGTTAAAGGTCTGAACCTAAATAAACTTGCTGGACTGGGCTGGGATAACTCAACAAAGCACTCTCTGTTGGACACACACTTATTTCTTTACTTCTTCTTTTTTTTTTTACATTAATAAATGATATCATTGTCACATTTACCCCCCTGAGCTGTGTGACAGATTGGACATTAATTTGAGCCCTGAGGGTCGGTTCAGTAAAGCTCGGGGCTGAGTCAGCTGATGATAAGAGATGCATGTGGTCAGATCACGTTCGTGTCCCTGCATCAGCATTTACAACCAAACTGAGAGGAAGGAACCATGGGTGTTGCACATGATGATGATTTTTGTTAAGTAACAATTGCGAAGCCTCTTTCCTGTTTCCGCAGAAAGTGAGAATCGTGCGCTCAAATCTCATTTTACAGGTCAGAACGGAAACACTGCTGTTGTCAGATGTGTGGTTGGGTTTATTTTTAGGCTGAACCTGTCAGAGGTTCCTTTGTTATAAATATAAATGGTTCCTCTTTGGTTACATTTGTGGCAGCAAAGTCAGTCCAAACCGTTGAAAACTCTCATAAGTTGAATCTTAATAAATCTCATGTTCACATTTTTTTGACTGTATTGAAATAACATGCTGGTTTAAGAAGATCAGCCAAACAGATGTCCACACATCAGCTGATGACATACATCCCTCTGAAGAGATTAAAGTCCAGGATTTTCATTAAGCCCCGCCCCTCCTCCCACTCATTCTTCTGCAGTTTCCAGCACTGATCAGCATTATTGATCAGAGCCTGAGGACACAGGTCACATTATGTTCCTCTTGGAACAACCAGGAGGCTCTGCTGAAGACAGTCGAAGCAATCCTGAAGTGCAAATCTAAGGAAGAAACGAGTCCAAACGTCACTGAAATACTGCTGCTGCCATCAACACCTGGTGAAAGAAGGGATGTTTTACTTGAATGTGTGAATTCTGAAAGAACAAATGAAGACAAACTTACAATGATAAACTAAAATATTGCACAATAATAAAAGCAGAAACATTGTGCAAAGGACTTCACATTGTTTGCATTTCTCTAACAAAGATACAATGAAAACTTACTACAAACATCCAATCTAAGAAATTAACATTATATAAAACAACAAAGTAAACACCGCAACTTTAATATACTTAGCACAAAAAGTAAGGAAATTTGAGTTTGGGAGATTATTTCTTTGTTGTAACAATGCTTCTTGCCAATAAATCTTAAACTGTTGGAAAGTCTGGTAATTTCCCTTTAAATGGTGCCACGTTTGTAAGTAACATGCATTTGTGGGATGAGCAGCAGAGCTGAGGATGTGGGTTACGCACATGAAAAAAAAATGCTATATCTTCTCTGCCAAACAGCTTTGTTTTGTTGTTGCTATTGACACTTGTTTTGAGGTTTTGGTTCCTCCAGATGCTGCCAATCAGGTGCAAAGAAACTATGTTACAACAAAGAAAAATCTAACAAACACAAATTTGCTTATTTTTTGTGTTAAGGTTATACACAGCGGGTAAAATAAGTATTGAACATGTCAACATTTTTCTCAGTAAATATATTACTGGAGGCGCTTATGACATGAAATTTTCACCAGATGTCGGTAACAACCCAAGTGATCCATACATACAAAGAAATCAAACCATAAATGTCCAGAAATGAAGTTATTTGTAATAATGTGGAATGGCACAGGGAAAAAGTATTGAACACATGAAGAAAGGGAGGTGTAAAAAGGCATGGAAAGCCAAGACACCAGCTGAACTCTCTCAGTAATTTGAAAGCAAGCCTGCCCCTTTTCAGTGCAAGTTAATATCAGCTGGTTCAGTCCCAAATGATGACCAGGTATCACACAAGAACCATCTGATGATGGGTAAAAGTAAAGAGCTCTCTCAAGACCTTCACAACCTTATTGTTGCAAAGCATAATGATGGCATCGGTTACAGAAGAATGTCTAAACTTCTGAAGGTTCCAGTGAGCACTGTTGGGGCCATAATTCAGAAGTGGAAAGAACAGTATTTCACCATAAACCGACCACGACCAGGTGCTCCTCACAAGATTTCTGACAGAGGAGTGAAAATAATTATCAGAGGAGGTGTCCAAGAGCCAAGGACCACTTGTGGAGAGCTTCAGAAAGACCTGGAATTAGCAGGTACGTTTGTTTCAAAGAAAACAATAAGTAATGCACTGAACCACCATGGCCTGTATGCACGCAAGACTCCACTGCTGAAGAAACAGCATGTTGAAGCTCCTTTAAAGTTTGCTGCACAACATTTAAACAAGCCTGTGTAATACTGGGAGAATATAGTCTGGTCAGATGAGACCAACATTGAACTGTTTGGATGCCAGAATACACATCATGTTTGGAGGTCAAATGGCACTGCACATCAGCCCAAAAACACCATACCAACAGTGAAGTTTGGAGGTGGGAACATCATGGTGTGGGGCTGTTTTTCAGCATATGGTACTGGCAAACTTCAAATAATTGAAGGAAGGATGAGTGGAAAAATGTACAGAGACATTCTTGATAAAAATCTGCTTCCACCTACCAGGATGATGAAGATGAAACGTGGCTGGACATTTCAGCAAGACAATGAGCCCAAACACAAAGCCAAGGAAACTCTCAGTTGGTTTCAGAGAAAGAAACTAAAGCTGCTGGAATGGCCCAGCCAATCACCTGACCTGAATCCAACAGAAAATCTATGGAAAGAACTAAAGATCAGAGTTCATAGAAGAGGTCCACGAAACCTTCAAGATTTGAAGACTGTTTGTGTGGAAGAATGGGCCAAAATCACACCTGAGCAATGCATGCCACTAGTTTCTCCATACAGGAGGCGTCTTGAAGCTGTCATTGACAACAAAGGCTTTTGTACAAAGTATTAGATAAATTTCAGTAAGTGTTCAATACTTTTTCCCTGTGCCATTCCACATTATTACAAATAACTTCATTTCTGGACATTTATGGTTTGATTTCTTTGTATGTATGGATCACTTGGGTTGTTACCGACATCTGGTGAAAATTTCATGTCATTAGCACCTCTAGTAATATATTTACTGAGAAAAATGGTGACGTGTTCAATACTTATTTTACCCGCTGTAAAGGGACAAATGTTCAGAAAAGTTAACATTTTACTGAGGAAATCAGATAAATAATTAAAATAAAAACTTGTGAGCAAAGAGATAAAAAGAGAGCCTGACACTTTGACAAGTTTGTTATCACGGACATCTTTGTATTTCCTGAGCTGTTCATCTGTTTTCTAAAAAGAAATGATTGGTAAGTTTGGTAAGCTTTTTTTTTAGTTTAGTTATATAAAAATGTTGCAATGCATAGTATACTGTTTTCTTTGTGCTTTTCTCTTTCAGAAACATTTATGTGTTCATTGTCTTTTTTTAATTTTTGCCATAAGCTGGTGTAGGTTTTCAGTCATCCAAGACATGGTAAACCAGAAAAAAAAGAGAAGAAGAAGAAAGGTTGAAGAACAAACAATTGGACTTCTGTTCTGTAACTGAAGATGTTTGCCACCCATCCAGGAAGCTTTCTTAATGCCAGTCTTGAGTGTGTCGTTCTAATCTTTTGAAACTCAGTTATGCAACCTAAATTCACATGCAGATTAAGTTACACGCCTCTCACAGTGGAGAGTTATTAGGGTTTTTGTTTGCTCGGCTCACCAGTGAGATGTTGCACGCACGAAGGTGGGTATTAGAGGGAAACTGATTGGATGTATCGGGCTCAGTGCTACGCTGCAGGAGAGCTGAAAGCTGAGGCCTTCTCGTCGTTTTCAAGTTGTTTGTTTCTCATAAAAGGCTTCACCATTCTCAAACCATCTGTCCAAAATAGAAACCCTTTGGTTCTCAAAAGAGCATCCTTTATCCTTTAGGTGTAAATGTTCAACCGAGTCTTGTCCTGAAGAGCCGGTTCTATCGTGTTGAGCCATGCGCCTGTGGAGAGGCTGTTTAGTTTCTCTGGAATAAAGGTCTGAACATTCCTCACTGCACTAAACTTTTCAGTTTAAGACACGCTTTCTGAACTCTTCACATCATTAACCTCTGATAAAACAGTGCTTTTAAGGTATTCTGGCAAATGTCAGCCTTTTAGTTTTGTTTTTTCTTGCAAAATAAAAGCTGAACGGAAATTTGGGCAGCACACACACACACACACACACACACACACACACACACACACAC